TTTGTTTTAATAAAATAAATTAATGCAACATTTAAATATGGAAAAAGAATTTATTTTACGTTTAGCGAATTTAGGCGGGAAATTGAAAACCAGTTCAGCGGATTTTCGGCGGAAACTGAAACGAACATGGCGGAATCCCTCCGAACACAGCTGGTAACATTGAAAACATTCGCAGTTGTTTTCTCTTTATTGTGATAAAGTGCTTGAGATTAAATCTCTTTTATTTTGAGGATTTACAAGGGAACAACTATATTACAGGTGTGTATTCACTGTGTAACAAGGAACACAATTAAACATTGCACTTGTAATAATATTATTTTCGTTTCATAAGATATTAATAAAAGTAAAGGAACATTTGACTACATGATGCCCAAAGAAAACGAAATTTTCTTAGATGGCACGACAATTCAGTTGTCACAGTGGCAATAAATATCAGTACTTTGGAACCTCTTGTGAACACGAACGGTATAACTGTAAGAAAAAAAACATGAAATGGTTAAACAGCCCAATACCATATTTCAGTACAATCAGGAAATGGACGGTGTAGATTTGCATGTCAATGCTATTGCAAATTATAGGTTACGAATAAGAGGGAAAAAATGGTGGTGGCCCCTTTTTACAAATGTTATAGATAGTGCTATTGTAATTGCCTGGAAATTGTACACCTTAGCTACTGGAGCAAAGACAAGCCAATTTGATTTCAGATTAGAATTTGTACTCACCTTTCTCCGAAGGGAAGAAGGAAATAGAATTAAAAATTTCAACCTGGGGCGTTGTAGTAAGAAAAGTTTGTCTGAAGGTATAAAGACCTTGTTGGTCACATAATAATTGGTGATGTATCTAATGCGAATCGCAGATATAAAATTTGCAAAAGTCAAACTATTTATAAATGTAAAAAGTGTCAAGTGCATTTGCATAATGAATGTTTCTCACTATATCACGAATAAACTTATTTTCAATATATGCTAGGGGTTTTATTGTGTATTACATTGAGAAAATAAAATATTATTAAGAATCTTGATCTGACTCATTCTTATCGGAGAACACGCAACGTTACGTGAACGCAGCGTTCCATTTCGGCAAAACCAAAAATATTTGGAGCGAATATTTACACTCTTTGGGGATGACTTATATTATAGTCAGAAATTTAAAAAAAAAGTAGGTATTTCAATGCTTGGGAAGAAATTGGTTAACCTATTTCCTAATAAACAAACATTTGTAAGTATTGAGTAAACACATGGACGATTTTGTTATTTATGTTTATTTTTTTACTTTCTGTCAATCGTATCGTACTTTTCTATAAATCTTACTTTAATAACAGAATGTGTGTGTGTGGGGGGGGGGATGACAACGTGCCAGATGTGAAGAGTCAGCTTAGTAATTTTCTGAGAGACAATTTGATTCAAGAAAATGTACGATTTGATTGTATGATAATGCTATGCGTTGATGGTGACCCTGAAGATGGAAATAATTTCCGAAACGTTGCTATTACTATTACGTATCAAACGTAACATCGATATAAACCATTTAACGTATTTTATAACTTTTTGAGTTTAAAATAAGGGCCAAATACAGTCCGTTTTTTGCTGTCTCCGAGTAATGGCTCGTGTTACAAAAATCTTGTAAATTTAGAAACTGACAGTATGATCTATGTTGAATAAAAGAACACAACATTCTCGAATTTAAACAAGTAAAAGACGAATATGTACTTACATGCCCATGGACTTGAAGGGCATATGTTAATGATTTTCTTTTGGAGTGTTGATAAATGTTTTTTATTAGGGTCAAAGGTATTTTAAGCAAGTATCTTGTTAACACATTCCTCCAATTGTTTTCTGGGGTCAAGGCTTAGTATTTTATCAGTGGTCCTCATAGAGCCAAACCCTAATCGACAGTTGATCAGTTACTATATATATATATATATATATATATATATATATATATATATATATATATATATATATATAAAGTAACGTAACTGATATGTAAGGGTCCTGAAGTGGGGGCCGCGTCCACATATTGTTTGATTTAGCGAGCAAAGCTGGGCGCGTTCAAGTCAGTGTCAGCCGACCGGCGAGTTAGGGCAACACCACCTAGATATACATGGTGTATCTAGGTGGTGTTGGTTAGGGGAGGCATCGTGAAGGGCTGAGTATAGGAGGTGGGCCAACTGGTCAGTGGACGAGGCGGTCAATCTTCTTCTGAAATATGTTAGACAGGAGAGAATGCATAGCACTTATGCATAGGTAAAACAGAGCTTTTCGACGAGAGTCTTATATGCGTAACGCAACAATTAGGTGAAGATTTTTTTACTGTAAATGAGTAGGCTGCGAGAAGCAGCCTACGTCTGCATGCAGGAAGTATTCCCTCTTGCACAGTTGGTAGTGGTAGCCATGGTCCAACAGTCTAGTATAGATATGATGCATTGTTTGATTGGGCCCCATCCAGCTTTGACTAACATGGGATCCGAGGAAAAGAATACATCTATTACGTTTCTCTTTTGTATCCTCTCCGACATTGCAGTCATATATGCCTCAGTGTCTAGTAGAGAGAGAGAGAGGTAGCCTTGTCTTATATTAGGAAGGTTTCTTTGGTCAGGGTATTTATTTATCTGGGAGTGTATTTTGAGACACATGCTGTTGTTTTTCAGATAGGTGGCCTTGATTGCTTCGATATGTAGATCCTTTTCTTTTTTCAGATGTGGCCATATTTCTTCAATTCCGTATGTCATTGTGAGAATTTTCGCGTGGAATATTAGCAATGCGGTTTCGATAAATATATTCTTAATGTTTTTGATTTAGTTTATTACGATCACTGCTACATGTGCCCTCTAACGTGGCAAGTGAAGGTCAATCCGGTTGACTAGTGTTATGCCTAGATATTTGTACATGCCGACAGTGTTTAGTACATCACTTCCTATTGTTATGGTGTCATTTCCCGCTATTTTGCCTTCATTTCGAAACGCCATTAAAACAGTTTTCTCTGATAACTCTCACGTCGTTCTCCGTTGTTCACTTACATAGGGAGTTCATGGCTTCTTGCAGGTTATCGATATTTGATAATATATCTGCATATAGGTAGAGGGAGACTCCATCTATATCCTCAATAATGCTGCCAACAATTACCATAGACGTCAATGTTGCAAACTCGATGGAAATCAAATGTAAATAAAAGATGGGAGACAAATAAATGTTAACCAGGCAGGCAATGGTAGTTTTTCTATTGATAATAATTTTTAATACCCTCAGTAACTACTAACATACTTCATGAACCCCATCTGTGTGAAATTAATTTGTTAATAGTATTTGTACTTGGAGACACACAATGAAAACACCTGTAATGTATTGTCTAATCACTAAAAACCAGTTTAAAAGTGCACCGCAAGTGGTAACCTAAAAATAAAAAAAAGTACAAATACAATTTTCCAGGTTTGTTGCTTTTTCTTAGCATTTTTTACAAATATTATGTATTTGTGAATCAAGTAGTTATGAGTTGGCCACCGGTTATCTTCAAATTGCACATAACAGTTAATTTTTTAACACCACATTTAAACTTCATGATGTACTTAATACAATCTGGTTAATAACATTTTTAATAAGCATTTACCACAGACAGGATATAACCTACTTTTGTTTTTACATCAGGCCTACATGGTGGTCAAGAAGAGACCAAAGTAATTATATATTTTTTCTTCCAAAAAAGAAATGGATTGAGGGAATAGTTTGTATATTTAGCATTAGTTGAAATCAGTACAAAGGGTGCAGAAGCATCACATAAGAAAATGGTTTCAGATATTACATTATAATTCAAGTGCACATTCCATAAGAAAACAGATTGAAAACAACATGTAACAATTCTTTTAATAACACAACAAAACAATAAGAATTATTAAAAATTATACATACAAAAAGTGGTACATTTAAAAATGCATAAAATTAATATTCCACAATGCTTAAAAGCATTAACCATTTGCAATATTTGAAATGTGAAGAGTAAACATTACTAAGGCACTCACTGTCAGTATCTAATGAAGTGAAGTAAGGCACTAGTGACGTTTCTTTTACCAGAAAGAAACTTGCCTATAAGTTTTCAATGACACTAAGTTTTTTGTTTTTTCAAATATACTAGTAAACATTTTGAAAATGCTCCATTTACCTATTTATATCATTTACTGCACTGAAAAATTCATAGAAATATTCAGATAACTGCATGTGTGGTTTCTAAACAGGTTAATTTAACATAACTTCAAATAATATTCGAAACTTACAAATGCTGTTCCAATGAAAATAAATTAGAACATAAAATGTAAATGAGTTTACTAAATTAGTCTCTCACTATCATCACCAAAATTTTGTTATCATGATCTCTGATGATAAAATATAAGTGGGTGAAAAGGAATAGCTGGCAAGAAGTCGTCACTGCTCCTTAACTGAGTAACAAAAATATTCTACTTAGGCACTAACAAAATATAGCATACGAGATTTTGAATTAATAATAACTAGATAATGGAATGACAAGGCCAAATACTGAAAACATTTATGAAAATGTATAAAATACATGTGTATGGACACACAGATTAAATATTGTCTCTTTTGTCAAAGCACCACATATTAATTGCACCAGCAGTGTCAATGACTAGTTATGTACACTAGCAGCAAAATTTCACACCATTAAGAATATTATTTAGAACTCATTACAATGACACACAGGATTGAAATGTTCACAACCCTGAAAGCACTTCACAGAACAAAATAATTTAGATCTTCATACTCAATAGGAATGTGATAAATACAAGTAGCCAAAAGAACACAATTCCGCTACAGCGCATACATTTTTTCCTTTAAAAAGGACAAGTAAACTGTATCACAGTATCTTTGGCCCCAATTGAAACATGCAACATAGTTTTATTCACACAAGTTTCTTATTTGAAAACACTGTCTTTGGAGCATTGGCTAAATAATTGAATATCTTGATACAAGTAATATCATACATCTTATCATCACAATTAGAATACACTTGCACACTTGCTCCAAAATGAGAATAAATAGAAAAATACAGGGTAATAATATTTTAAATAAAGTACATAACACCACTTATAAGATTTGTACATAAGATCTTACTGCTCACATTATCAAACTTGAAACTTTTTAAGGACTATTCAACTATTCAAATTTATCTCTCAACTGTTTCTTCAATAGAACAGGAACTAATGACAGGATTGCGAACACCGCTAATAAAATTACAGATGTCCAAGACCATGCATCACTAGATGCAGACAACTTGTACAAAGTCTGACCAGCTTGGATTGCAACAAACGAAGGAGGAGCAACACCTGCAAGGAATTAAAAGTGTTTTACACATTTTACTCAGATAATTAAAATAAATGCAAGCAATCATCCAAAAATGTTCTCATATTTTTCCAAAGGTCAAATTCTCAGAGAATTTGCAATGTCAGTATGTCACTTAAGTATATCATGAATAATAAATACTAATCAAGGTACACATCGATCTCATTTTCAAACCAAGAACTTGAAATACAAGTAAATGAGCACACCAAGATACTCGTAGGAAAGGATTCTCAACAAATAATCTCTCAAAATGCTTTTTCAATATTGAATATATGAATGAAGTTGAAAAATTCACAGAATAATTATTGTGTTTCCTAAGACAAATATATTTAATAATCATTTAAGAGTAACATAGTTTGCCGGTCATTATAATTTAATCAAATATTTATTAATTAATCTTTACTCTTATCACATCTTCCAAAAAATTCAGAGTTGTTGGAACATGCAATGTAAGTGGTAGTTTGCATTTTGTCACCTGCTATAATTCAAGTTACTTATCTCTATTTTGCTATTACAGGACATTTGGAAAATATTTTTTGTACTTCTATTTTTTTAGACCTACTTTTACAGAATTGTTAATGTTGATATTTCACTAAAGCGACTCATGAAAGATAAACAAATACTAATCAAGGTAAACATTAATCTCATTTTCATACCTAGAACTTGAAATACAAGTGCATGAGCATACCAAGATAAATTTCAAACCTAAAATCCATTTTATTACACTATTTTTAAATTAATTCAAAGAAATCTCAAGCACTTCTGAGTAAGATGGTAATGGAAAAATGAGTGAGAGGTGTGCATGCGTGCGTGTGTGTGCGTGTGCGTGTATATATCTAAAGGGGCACCTTATTTCGAAAAAATGTCCCCCACCCCCTGCCCTCTACAAAGAGCTAATTTCTGAGTAAAACCTGCTAATATGTATTTCAGAACTTTAACATTGAATAGGTTCAAAGACAGTGTTTTGCCTTTTCCTTTCTATATTGTTTGCTTTGTCAGCACTGATTTTCACGGAATTGTTTCCACCAGCTTTGGTGGTTAGAATCAACAATCATTTATTTACATCATGAAGTTGAAGCATGTGCTAGGCAAAGCTCTTGCTTTTACATAAAATCTTAAGTTAATTATGAGTGTCCGGGGAAACTGTGCAAATAACACTGAAGTAACAGCCATCTAGGCTGAGTTAATACATATTGATCCTTCAGAGACAAACAATACACCAGGAAGTCAAAATTCAAACAGAGGTTGCAAGGAGACCAGTATTCCACATAAGAAGAAATTACTTTGAGAGTCCTGGAAAAGAATTATAGCAAAGGAAAGAAGGTACGAAAATATAATGTCAAAATAATAAGATATGTAATGAAGTGTAGTCATTTGTGTGACATGAATAAGCATTAGTAGGCAACATAACTATACAAACATTGATTTTCTTTTCTTTAGAAACTCTTTCAAAGGATTCCCCAAAATGCTGATATGATGTTATATCAGCCACTCGCATGATGTTAAGTTAAAGTTTAAGTGTTTTATGAAGCATAATTTATAGAAGATAGGAAGACAGAGGTGATCACGGAGTAAGTCTAAATTAATGGTATGTAGGAAAGGAGGAAGGGTGAGAATGAAAGAAAATGGTTATGGAGGCATGGGAGGATGAAACGGGTGAGTTAATATAAATACTTAAGGTATTTAATTAAGGATAATGTAATGACCCAGAGAACCCTATCAGTATTAATATAAACATTACAACATTTATTCAAAATTATATTTTAGTTTATACTAGTTATGCCATCTGTTCTTTAAAATATCTCTTTCATTTCCTAGAATTACTCCATAGGGAATGGAGACAGTGTGGATGAATTGTCATGGTAGTGGGCGTAAATAAACAAGCCTGGGAAAAATTAATGCTCACAGTACAATACCATAATCTACATCAGGGAGGGGGAATCAAAGCCCCTTGTAAATAAAAAGAAGTGGTGTGTATAGGAGGCCTAATTATGGTCGGGCGAAGCGGGGTTGGCTTTTCTGGGTAGTCAAACACATCATATCTAGGACATTGTAGATTATTATTAGATGGGGATGCGTGGTGGACAGAGTCATAATGTATTAGTCAGGCCATAATGTTGAACATAGAAGAGGAATAGCCTCGCTTAATATCATCATTATTATCAGAATAATTAAATAATAATTTAAATAATGTTAACATTACACAATTTGCGAATTGAATAGAAACGGACATGTTAGCAAATGCAAGATTGATTAGGGAATATGTTGTAACACTATCATATCTTTTATTGACAACTATCTACATCTATCTGACGAACCGGGTAACATTTTGGCAGAGTCGTGATTCAACATTTTCTTTAGAGACTGACACTATACAGTAGTGCATGCAGCATGAGGAGATTGAATGTATAATCAATCAGGGGTCACACTTAGGTCTTCTCTTATTTAACATCTTCATTAACAACATATGCGACAGTATATTGGACGTGGAGTTTCTGCTTTTTGCTGATGACTTTAATTTTTTTTAAAAATCCAAAGTGATCAAGCAAAACACCGTAAATGCCTTATATATGCGTGGTGTGTTAAGAACAATCTTTTTCTCAATATCATGAAATGTAAAACTATAACTTGTTCAAGATCTAGATCTAATGAAACCTCTGATTATATGATGAATTTCACTCCACTAGAGAGAGTCTATACCATTAGAAATCTGGGTGTGATTTTTGATTACAGGATGACTTTCATGGATCATTTTCATCATCACAATAGTCAAATCAAACCAGATCTTGGGATCCATTAAAAGATTCTGCCATGAATTACACTCAGTAGTGGTCTTGAGATCACTCTATCTTATGCTGGTCAAGCCAATATTGATGTACTCTTCTGTAGTTTGGTCTTAGTTTTATTTCCAAAATATAAATCGCAAATTGACACAGTCCAAAACAAATTTTTCAGAATGTCAGCCTGAAGGTTTGGGAGTGGAAGATCCTTGTATAAAACATGAATATATGGCTCTGCATTTGTACATTCCTTCACTGAGTTTTCAGAGAGACTTGAATGACTTGTTTTTAAGAAAACTGATATTGGGTGATGTCAATTGCAAAATCTTGCAAAACCAGAAAGTGGCATACCAAACTTTAATTCTATAACCAAAGATAATTTTGATATTAGATTTTACCATCAATCTTACACAGCAAATAATGTTATAAATTGATGTTGCAAATCAGTCAACAGTTTGAATATTGATATAAGTGAAACGGAAAATTCTGCTTGCAAAATTTTAAAATTTGAATGAGTAGGCTTGGCAGAGCTACTGTTATATCAGATATATTTCATGTTATTATTGAATGTTTTCCTATATAAATGTTTCAATTTTCATAATTATGTTGCTACATGCGAATTTTTGTATTGTATTCTTTTTGTAAATAATGGTCTAACTTGTCAGTAAAATAATAATGATAATAAAAAATAAATAAATTATCTTGGCGATGGAAGAAATAAGACGTCTCGGGAGTTGGATATTACTTCATCCGGAATTCATCCAAAAAGTTTCTGAATGCAAGCAAGATACGAAGTAAGCAACGAACATTTAAATTTATTTGTACAAAGAATGATTATGGTAGGAAAAGGGCTGATTATAATCAGCCCTATTTTACTTTCTTGCTACCAAGTAGAGAGAACATTATGTAATGCTATGCTGGAAAAAATGCAAATTTTCGACAGAAAAAGTATTACAGGATCCTGGTAATGAAAAAAATTGATAAATCTGCCTGCTGAATTTAGAAATGGGATCAAAATCCTCCAACATGTGTAGTCAGAATCCATGTTTTGTGGGTCTTGTTGGTCTTGATACCGGAAAACTGACTGTGAGCGACTGACTGACTGACGAGGAACGTCAGATCGACGACTGACTGGTGACTGAATGTATGACTGACCAACTCTGCCTGTCAACAACACTAGGGTCGAAACCGTTCAGCCAATTTTCTCCAAAATTGACATTCCTAATCGATCTGGCTGATATCATGGCCCCTTGAATTTGAAACATATTTTAATTTTGGGGAATACTTTACATGAAACCCTGGGAAATTGCAAGACTTCGAAATTTTGTGGGCATCTTCTTACAAATACAATTATGAAGATAGAGATATTTTCCTTTGTTGAAATCTGCTCTTTTATGACAGATTTTGAAATAAGTTAAAATATAATTTTTCAAGGATTTGAGTACTTATCGCCTAATTTCGCAAGAAAGTACATGCTGTTTTAGCACCATTAGTTTTTAAATTGAATTGCAATAAATTAAAGAATTCCTTAAGCAGAAAATGTTGGTCCTCACGGACAATCTGAAGGCATATGATCAAGTAGGCTATAATCTGTCATGTCGATGACTGCAGGTAAAAACATTAAGGGTACATTTTTAATTTTAAAAGAGATGCATGAATAGGGCAAGGCAACTGAAACTATATAAAGAGTTGAATATACAATTTAGCATTGGCATCAAATAATTGCAAATTTATGAGCAGATCAATTAAATAAATATTCAACAGAAGTTATAGGTTCATTTCAATAATAGTAAGTAGGAAGGACTCATGAGAGTAAGAAAGGGAGGTTTAGCAATGAGACACATTTGGCGAACTTTCAAAGAAGGTTCACTAAAAGATGGAAGTTAGCGTTCAAAATGATTGATTCACTGGTAGGAGGCATAATTTTATGTGGGACAGAGATTTGGGGCTGGAGGGAATGGCGTAGATTGCCTGCAGGAGAGATATCTGAGATTGTGTCGAGGGGTTGCAAAGTGATGATAGGATATATGATTAGAGCTGAGACATGTATGGGGAAGGTGAATGGAAGAGGTGGAGAGGCTAGCTATTCGGTTCTGCCCCAATCTCTTTGCATTGCCATGTATTGCTGCCCGAATTACATTTTTTTGAAATATTTTGAATTTTTTAGTTTCTTTATAGTCATATTACTTTAATAATATTAAAGAAGATTAAAACCTCTAACTATATGGAAATTTTCATTGAAAAATTTGCAACCATTTAAAAAAATAAATAGTTTCAGCGTACAACACAACTCTGTAAATGAGAAATTTAAACCTCTTTTTCACAGAAAAGTTTTGAGATTTCGAAAAATTTCATTGGAAGTCATTTGAATCTCTTCTATTCACAATAATTTATACAAATTGCCGAAAATTCGTATATTGAAAGCAATACTTTAAAAAAATTAAATTTGTGTAATTTTTCAAAAATTATAAGAATACAGCAATATGAATGAATGCCATATTAAAAAATGCAGTTAGAACTATCCGTTGGAAACACTTGAAGAAAAAACTTCAAACCTTCAAACTATAAAGCAATTTTTGTGCAAATGACGTTAGATTGTTTCTGAAAATGCGGAAATTTGAGCTCATTTTCACAGAAATAATATTTGACATTATTTAAAGCACAATTAAAGAACAATACCATGAACAAATCTCCACCAATGTAAATATTAACAATGTGAGAGGCAAGTCAATAAAATTACATTTTGTAATTTTTGAAAAAAAACTCAAGTATAGTGCAATATGAACATAATTCAGCTTGTAGAGTAAATTTTTAGCACTATCCCTCCCAGAAGTTTAAGTAAACATTTGGAGCAGTTTTCGAGAAAATCTAGGATTATAATTTTTTTTAAATTGCACATATTGCAAGCAATATTACGCCAAAACTACCTAAAAGTTTCAAACAAATATGCCTGCCTTAATGAAAGAACTAATTATGGGTAACAAATTACTTTTGAAGGATAAATCTCAATATTCAATACTGTACCTGTAGGAAGTTGTTGAAAAAAATTCATACTCAAAATTCAGAGTTAACATTGAAAATCAGACCTACGACATCTTTATAACTGTAATTCGCTCTATTCTTGAAAGAAAAAAATTGAAGCCATTTTCGAGAAAATTTTGAAAATGTCCCAAAATACCCCATATAAATTAATGAATGTTTCTCAAATACACAGAGCTTTGACTCAGGCCAGATCGACAGGAGTTTCTTCAATTTGGGAACAATCCTAATGTTAATAAACACTAGACAGACATCCGTTTTGAAAAAGAAAACACTTTTTCAGTGTCCGAGGCCCCCAAAATGTGGATTTCGGTTAAAACCTGGAAATCGTTTCTCCGCAGCATTACATAACTTTCTCTATATTATGTATATGTACATATACGAGAAAGTAAAAATTAGAAAGAAGGGGAGGGGGTAAAATTACAATGAAGTGTAAGAGGGGGGTTGAAAAACAAGAAAAGGGAAAAATATCACAGCGAAATACAAAGGTGTACAAGGTTCTGGGCAGTAAGTGAAGAGAGGAGTTGTACGAAATTAGTTTCTGAGGAAGAGACGTGGGAGCACGTACTGCAGATGTGGACGGGAATGGGCAAATGGCTTAGAGAGTGGGGACACCCGGGACGAGAATTGGAATTCACTAAGGAAAGGTGGGAGGTTAGAGGGAAAGATGAAAGAAATAGAGAACAGAAGAACAACAATTAAAGCTTTTCTGACAAAAAATCGCTGTTTTCAGGTGCATAATTACAATACTTACTCTTCTACCTAGGGCAAAAAAGTAAAAACTAGCGGTGGTACAGAATGGCACAGACTTTCCTGTATTAGATTTCTATTTCCTTGGGTTCCGGATAGCTATTGGAACTTGCCATATATTCTTGCCTGCTGCCATCTATCCTTGCCCAAAGTACATTTTTTTGACATTTTTAAGTTTTTGGTTTCCTAATTATACAGCGGAAATATTATTTTAAGATTATTAAAGAACAGTAAAACCTTGCGCCAATTGTTAATTTTCTATGAAAAATTTAGAGTTGATTTTAAAAACTGGCATTTAAGTGCTACTGTAAATTCCAAATTTAAAGCTCCTTTTCAGAGCTTTTTGTGTTTCCGAAAAATTTGATTTAAAGTAATTTTAAGCTCATTAACTCTCAAATACAATAATCTTTACAAATCATTGTACATGTGAAAATCAACGGTGTCAGAGGTCTTTCAAAAAATTTGCACTTGTGTAATTTTTGGAAAAACAACGAAATGAACTTTATGTCGTATTAAAGAGTGCAATTACCACTATCCGTTTGGAATGTTTTAAAAAAAATTTAGAACCGTTTTTGAGAAAATGGCGTTTGAGAGTTTCTGAAATGCTGAGCCAGTTTTCAGAGAAAACAGTAGTTTTCAAGAAACTTTATATGACAATATTTAAAGCATATGTACTCAAATACACTAATGAGAACAAACTGCCGCTAATATAAATATTAGACATGAGAAGCAAGTCAAAAATATTACATTTTGTAATTTTTTATAAAAGACAAAAGAATTGAGCAATATTGGATTTATGTCATCTTGTAGACTACATTTGGCACTATCTTTACTAAAAGTTTAAAATTTGGAGCCGTTTTTGAGAAAATATTGTGTTTGTAATTTTTTTAAATTGCACATATTTGCACGCAATAGTGCAGGAAAACTACTAAAGTTTTCAAAAACTCTACATGAACAGAACTCACAATAGAGAACAAATTTTATTTTAAGGAAAAATCTCTATCTTCAAATTTGTAGTTGTAGGAAGACCCTGAAAAAATATTCAAACATTTGAAATTTTCCAAATTCTGAGTTCACCGTGAAAATGGGACATATGCCATTTTTATAAGTGTATTTAACTCTATTCTTCCAAGAAATTTAAAGAAAAAATTTGGCGCGGTTTTCGAGAACATTTTGAAAATGTCCCAGAGGTTTCATGTAAAGTACCCCCCAAATCTAATGATTTTCAAAATCACGGAGCTTCGACTCAAGCCAAATGGACAGGGGTTTGTTCAATTTGTAAAAATTCCTACGCATAGTTTAGGTGCTAGTGTTATTCACATACACCAGACGGATGGACGTTTTCTTAGGTATCAGGGAACCCCAAAATGTGTATTTCTGTTGAAATCTATTTTCCACAGCAATACATAACTTTTCCTATACTCTGAATATTACTCTTTATATACGTATGTGTACGGGAAAGTAAAAATGTGGTTTTTGCATTTAGCATTTCTACAAAATCAATTTCTTAAAATGCTTCAATTATAATGCAAAGTATTTATACCCAATGGTTGAAGAATTTTACTTCACATTTTTGCAATAATAAAATTTTCAATTAACCTCAAACTCAGAGGACGTTGAAATAAAAAAAAAAGTACGCTTCATTGACATTTTTGATTATATCTGGTGAAGTTTCACAAAAAATTGAGGCAAATTCAAATGTCTCCAATCAGATACCTACTAGTAATTAAAAAATTTTCACAAGTTAGCCAATTTTTAAGCGCCAAACCCTTTTTTTTCATCCTTTACATAGCTATTGTTTAAAGTGTATTTCTTCATTTATTGTATTTAAAAATTTTGAAGACAACATACTTCATTTCATAGCAATTACTAGAGTACTGATTTTACCATTTTTGCTTATTTTATTCCTCATGACCAAAGAATATGCTTTTTCTAAGAAAATACAATTCAAACTACAAGAAAGGTTTTTGACAGTGCATATTTGTGCATATTTCACATTAAGGAGCATATATCAGTAATTCGAACATATTGATGCATATATGGACATTATTGACCTTCTAAAGGCTGTTGCCTTACTAATCTTGTCCTCAGCTGATTTCTAAGGAAAGCAGTTTTTACAAACACTCGTGAGAGTATCACTAACAAAGTGGGATGTTGGTCAGATGTTTGTGAAGGCTGTCACATGTTAGTACACACAGTTACTACCAGGTCAGCACCTACCACCAGAAGCTATTCTTACTCGCTAGGGAACTTAAGATTGAAGCTGCCCTATTCTATGGTGACTATTTACATGACGTGAAGAAAGTACTGGATATGCTCTATTTACATGACGTGAAGAAAGTACTGGATATGCTGGACAAAGGAGAAGCTGCAAGTATACCGGCTGCTATAAAAGCAAGCAATGTCGATGGTGTTCAGTGCAAGTAGGCATTTATTAAAGATAATTTTTAAAATTTAGCCATGACAATCACCATGTTGGAAGAAAGGGGATTGCCACTTTCAATAGCTTTTGAACTGTACGATTCATTTGTAGAACAAGTTACACCAGGAGTCATTGGACAAACTAGTAACAAATATTGAAATAGTAGAAGACAGAAATCCTGGAATTAAATTTATTCACAATGTAAATGAAGTACTAATTGGAATATTTGTCAAGGAAGTGCAGGGTTATTCTCCTGCTAAAGTTGATTCATATAAATTATGCCCCCTAACTTCCTGTAAAGGGGAATATACGTTTTCTAGTCAGAAAATAATTCTAACAGACAAAAGAAAATCTGTATCAGTAGAAAATATTGTAAAATAAATGGTAGTATATTGTCACAACAATGCATATAAGTAAATGAACTGTGAGTGAATAAAAATTATTTAAATAGGTAGGCATATTTAAAGTAATTTATTGATGATGTATCATTTCTTGAGCATGTTGTCAGATTTCTTGGACATATTGGCAGTTTTTCGGTGCATATTTCACCGATTTTAAATGCAGAAACGCATGCATATTTTGATGTTTTTAAGTATAAGTGCATATAAATCTGCTGTCTAGTATTTACCATAATTAGATTTTTTTCAGTAACCTTATAACCTTGATTAGATTGTCATCTCTACCAGTGGTCAATTCTTGCCCAAACCATTGCTGAAAACTGGTTTCAGTATACTTCAATTAATCTGGTAGTTTTAATAAAGAAACAGTACGAAAAATAAAAGAAACACATCTTTGCATATCTTTATCCATGTAAATTAATAATAATAGTGATAATAATAAAGGAAAATCAGACGTGTCCTTACAAACAAAAAATTTCATTAAATGTGAAAGTATTGTTGTATTGTAACATATTGTAATAACTTACCAAAAAAAGTTCCCAGCCAGAATGGAAACAAAGGTACATCAATTACAGGTGATACAATATTAATAAACCAGTTGGGGAGAAATGGTGTAACACGCAAAAATAACAGGTAATTGAGCAGGTTACTTCTATGCTTGTTGACCTATAACATTTTTTAATAAAACTAAAATAAGTAAGGCATGTTTTCTTAATTCATAAACAAAAACAATATGCTTCAGCTTAAATGAAATGTTCTACTAACCACTGCAGCCCATTGGGATGCTTTTTCAGGAAAATACTTGTATACTATTCTTCTCCCAAGAAAGTATGAAAGTAGATAACAGAGTGAGGCACCAGTTGCTGAGCAAAAACATACCAACACCAAAGCAAGAGGAAAGGGAAAGAGGAATCCGGAAAGAATGGACAATGATATAGATCCTGGAATGGCGAATGTCTGAAGACTGAATTTCAGTTAAGATAAACATCGATTTAAGGTCACACATAATTGAAATATTGCATCTCTGATATTTTAACCTTTAACACTTTAAAGCCTACCAGAATTTTCTGAACTACCATGCAAACGCACCACTTTTACTCACTAGGTTCTTCTTGGTAGTGATTTTATCTTATAATGCATTTCTGCAGTCAAGAAATATTACTTTTGTTTATTGGTTTGGTAACCAATTTTGGAGAGTTTGTTAACATTATTTGTTTTGGATGATATCAAAAAGTAGAACACGTAAAAACATGACATCTCGGTAGTGATACTGAATAACACATGCTTACTACTATTTATAATAGTTATAATACTATATTAATTATAATAGTAATAATATAGTAATAATACTATACTAATTATAATCAATACTGAATTCTGCCAACATAACTCATTTTAGATGTGATATTGTGGACAAATTATTAGGGTTTCCAAAATGTTTGATTAATTTTGTTGAGAGTCAAACTATCTGGTATGTTACTGAACCAACAGGCATTTCATTATCTCTCCTTTAAATATAATACTGAATTTGTACTGACAGAGGTGGCAGTAGAGGCAAAGGAAAAGTCAGGGGTATAGGCACAGGCAGAAACGGTGAAGGCAGTGCCAATTACAGAGAAGAGGTGAGGGAGGAGGCAGAAGAAAGGTTGGAGGTGTGGGTGAAAAAAAGAGCAAGGCAGTAGCGATAGTGGAGGCTAAGGCATGGCTGAGGGCAAGGACAAAGCCGAGGGTCGTGGGTGGGGGTGAGGTGGGGCAGAGGCAAGGGCAATGGTGAGGGTGGGACAGGGTGAAGGAGAGAGCGGGACGAAGACAATGGCAAGAGTGGAAGCAAAGGGGAATGGGGGGTTGGGGGGCAAAGGCAAGGGCAACGGGGGGCTGGAAGTGAGGGTGGGGGCCAGAGCTAGGCCGAATAAGTCAAGTGAAGGCAAAAGCAGAGACATTGGTATAGGTGAGGGCAAGAGAATGTATGAACATAGGCAAAAGAGGGAGTTAAAGAAGTGAGGGTGATGCGCAGGCAAGGACTTAAGCAAAAGCGAGACGTGAGGGTGGAGGCATGGGTATGAAGAGGGCAGATTGGGGCAATGACAAAGACAAAGACAGCCAAGTGGGGAGCAAGGGTAATGGTGTGAGAAGTAGCAAGAGTGCATGTGACGGGGAGTGGATGACAAAGCCAGAGTAGTGAGAGATAAGCTTATAACTTTGAACCCATTAGAGTTACAATATTATTTTGAAAATTTCAAAAAATTGCAGTGAAAGAGCCTTGCAGTACATTTTATGTACCAGGCTATAACTTTCAAATAAAAACAAAATAACAAATGTCAATTCCGTTATCTTTGTCACTAAATGAAATACTTACATGCTAAATAAAAAAAAATCCTGCTTTAGTGTTAAAGAACACCACTAGAAGTGGCAGTCTCGAAAAGTGACATTTCATGAGCACTCAATTTTTTAACATCAAAATGAACTGCATTCACCAAGCACTAAATTGTTACACTAATACACCCCTGTGTCATAAAGGATACAAAATATATGTTACAAATACAGCTAAAAGTACTTCAAAGTAGTATTTTTCTTTGTATCGATCCAAGACTTGCCCTAAGCGCTTTGCATCTTCAATATCCCATGGAATTTTAAGGTGCTGTTGTTCGCTTCTGAAACAAAAATAACATCAATGATCTTCACTCTCTCACTCTCATTTTTAAAACGATTGCACATACCTAAGAATATATGTCATACGACTAAATGTTCACCAAAATTTAAAATCAATCATTTATCAATAGAATACCCAACCATTAAAAGTACCATTATAAAAGTCAATCATCTGAATTATTTTGTAAATACTCACTCTTGAAGTTCAGGAAACTTCATGTAGATATACAACAGGGCAAGTAAAGACACAACAAATATTGTAATAACGGTTGCAACTGCTTGACGAGTACTTGTTCCATGGTGATTTGGGGTGTGAATCTTTGGTTCATAACAATTGTTCTCTACAACTGAAGAAATTTGTTTTGATGAGTTTCCATGAATTTAGAATTTACCTTGGTGAAAAAAAGTGATGAATTTTGGGGCATTGTGAATTTAATTGATCAAGTTCACAGTGCCCCAAACTTTTAAAAAGGTATCAATTTTTAAATTCCATAATCAAGATCAAAAATGGGGTTTGAACCTCTAGCCCACAAGTTTTTCACATAAAGTATTGACAGGTCTGTGATTTGATCAATCAACTAATTTATATTGAAAGCAACTAAAAATGAATAACACAGTTTTGTCTTAATTTTTCTTCAATAAATCTCACTTTAATCACAAACATTTATATGCACCCATTAGGAAAGGGAAATGCAATAAATAGAAAATTTTATCTCTATACAATAATTTGTTGATGGATTTAAATTTAAATACTCAATAATAATTTAAAAACTCAAAATGGAATTTTAAATTTTCAGTTCAGAAATAAATTTATTTTACTACGTTCACTTTTACCAGAACACTAGTCACATTATTGAAGGGCATTAAAATTCAAGTAATAAAGTGATAGAAACATTAAGCAATAACTGCGTAAAAATTTAACAACTTATAAACGCACGACCTGCCAAAATCGGTAGAGAGTTTGGATAGTAATAGTAAATTTTCTGTTAAGAAGGGAAGGAGGAGAAATGGAAGAGGAGCAGGAGGCAGAGAAGTATGAAAAGAAAAAATAAAGTGGGAGGAAAGAGGAAGATGCGATTGAGATTGAGAAAGAGAAGACAGGAGGAATAAAACAAAGAACAAAGGGAACGAGAAGAAAGGGTAAGCATGTTGAAAGCTTCAGTCAAAGGAGGAGGTGTGGCAAATATTCATTTTTGAAGGAGGTGGTAAGTAATTTTTGGTATAGCCGAACATATTTAAGGATCCAAAGGATGCACAAACTAAATGTTTCGGTTTTCCAAACTACAGAGATTTTCCCACCCAAAGTTTAGCTACATTTTGTGAAAGGTTACCCTATCAGGAAATGAACATTAATAAAAAATGACAGGAAGACATTTATTCCTAAGTGACAGAACCTACAACATTCCTTTCCCAATAGGTAAATTGATTCTATACTCGTTTCTTCTTAAACACACAAAATTCAATACAAAAATATTTAAAACATCAGATTTCCTTATATTTTCATAAAATGTACATTTACAAATTTCGATTCCGTTACTCCATCTTTGCAATGACTATTTAAACAGTTAACGGTCATGTTACTGGACTGCTCCCCAGAATGTACTTAACTTAATAAGATATGTTTTTGTATATACTCCATTTGGTTTTTAAGTATATAATGACAGTTGTATCTGATGAGGGAGACATAAGTCTCTGAAACGTCGAATTTCACAAAATGAAATTGATATAAAAAATGTATGGAGGTGTTTATAGTGGTTATCCTATATTAAATAATGGACTGAAAAATATTTAAAAACAAATTTAAAAAATTTGTTTCATAGATAACTTTTAACTAACAAATGGTTTCACTTCAAACTTTCAGGAAATATTTTAAGAGTCAATAACTACAACATGAAACAAAAACATGCAACAATACTTTTTCATTTATGTTTTTTTCTATTAGAAAAAATCAGAAATTTGTGACATTCAATACATTACGTAGGAAAGCGAAAAGGTTAGAATTTACTAGTTATATAATCCAAGTTGCAAATTAATTGTTCAACAGTTCCCAATAACAAAAACCAAAATGAATGTGGTACTATAAATAGTAACATTTCTACAGGCCTGCAGTTAAAACAAAAAATTTCAATATTCACTATATGGTATTTTCATTCTATCATTTTCTATTAATGAAAAGATTGCTACAACCACACACAAAAATGTAGGTAATGACTCCTCTTCCACTGTATATGAAATATTAAAAATCATCAACATTTTCTATGCTACCAACCAATCTAAAAAAAGATCTTATTTATTTCTACTAATGAAACGTTTTGTTTACCAACTTCAATAAATTTATTCAATCCCATTACACAATTTCACCTGTGATACATTCATGAAAATAATTTGTCTTGGTCACATGAAAATAAGTTGCAGTTAGAAACTATGGCAATACATCCCTTGATAGTACATAAAACTTCTATGAATCACAGATTTCATGAATAGATCCATGAAGCATCTCTGACTCACCATAATCCTAAATATTTGTTGGCAAGTTGATAATAGTTCATCTATTAAATAATTCTTTAAGAATATTTCCTTTAACTTCAACATTTCATTAAAAATAAAACAAGAAAAAACAACAATTCAATTATGTAATAGACTGCTTTGTAGAAATCTGCACCTTTAGTTATACATGACGTTTCTTAACATTACTACCACTTCTTAGGAAATTCATAAATTTACAAAGTTAGATCCACAACTCAAAAGTGAAAAATTCTAAAGAGGACTCACATTGGATTTTTGGGCAAACTTCTATTTAACTCTTTTGACATATGACTAGAAATTAATTACACACTCATCACTTAACAATATTACAGGAACCACATTTACAGGGCCTAAAATGCCTTCAGCATCAGAATCTAAAAGTGCTTCTAGATTAGGTTTAGTTTTGGTTTAAAAAACAAAAGTAAAACACCCTTGTCAATTACTAGTTTTGTTTTTTTACAAACTATAATATTATTCACAAACTCTCTTGTAATCAAGTTGTGTTAAGGAGATTCTGTTTCTGGAATGTTATCAAAATGAGTTTCATTAGCTAAACAACAAAATAAGAATAACTAATGAGTGTCAGTTATTCTTATTTTAAATGCTGGAAACTTATCACATTCGGTGTCTAGCTCACTCTTGGACCAACTTGTACCTCACAAATTGTAAACAGATTGTAATATATATATATATATATATATATATATATAAATATATTCTTATATAATATCCTGTTTAATGAATTAATTTGAAAATTAAATTAAATTTAATCTGGAAATCATCTCAATTGGTACTACCTATTCAAGTAAATGTTTACCTTTTAAAAGCATATTTTAGGTGTCTGAAATGTCCATTTATTGCTCCAAGTCCTATGAAGGATTTTGGAAAAATTATTTTCCAAATGTGCCTATTGATACTCATTGCCTTTAATGTTCTTGTTTCATTGCCAACACAAAAAAAAGTTACTTTTACTTTCATTATAAACAATTGTTGGAACATAACGTTTCAAAGAAGGAAAACTTCCTGCGTAGACCATTTTATTCTACAATTCACTAATTCAGTGAAATTACACCAAGTTATAAGAAATTTTTCAGCATTAAAATAACATATTGAAATGTTAATTATTAGCAGATAATTTATCTACTGTATAATATCTAACTGTAACAAGTATTGTATTTCTAGGCCAATGACCCCATCTCGATCAGGTTTCGTTCAGTTTCCCTGGTCCTTTGAGCAAATGCTGAGATGGCCCCTTGTTTGCTCCTGAACAGTAATGTAACTTCGCTCTCTCCACCCAAGACTTCATAATGACTAGTCATACACGATTGTAATTATATATGTGACTCAATAAATATTATTATTATTATATTTATTATTATTATTAGTAGTAGTAGTAGTACCTATTGCCCAAAACCAAAAAGTCTAAATCACAACACTAAAAATGTCCATAATGTGAATTAGATCTAGAACATGAAAGCAACCAGAATTTCAAGTTTTATTTTGGCATTAAATGATATTGCGTTCAGACATATCTGGCAAAAAACTTCATTTAACTCAACTTCACATTTTGGTGATGCAAAGCAATGCCCTTTTACTTTTCCAATACTTCTTCAAATCATTGGTATTTTTACAAGTTCATAAAAGGTCACACCCTCACAAATGTAAAATCATAAATTAAACTATACTTAGAGATAAATGCAACTAATCAAAAATGTTTTTCATACATAAAATAAGTATATTAATGGAAAGTTATTGTCACACTATTGGCCCGGTCTTTCTATTTTCCATTAGTCACAGTTGTCACACTGCAGAAGAAACAATTTTAAGAGAGTTTTCCCATCTCAATCAGGTTTTCGTCCAGTTTCCCTGATCTTAGAGCAAATGCTGAGATTGCCCCTTATTTTGCTTCTGGGCAAAAATGTAACTTCAAATTAACTTCTCCTCATAGCACGTCACACACAGTTTTTAACTGTTTTTACGTAAATATTTTTTTAAAAAAATAAATAGAAATCTTTATATTTTTATTTTTCCAATTATCTCTTTAAATACCAGAATTTTCTAAAATCAAAGTGTATCATTGAATTTTGTAACTCTAAAATCGTATTTCAGAGTTCACTATTGGAAATATTCCCAGAAACAGAATTTCCGCCGACTTGTAGTAGGTCAATTATTACCATACCGAAATTTAGAAAGGGACATAACAATATTCAGAAGGGGTTCAAGTCACTAACAATTGGAGGCACAACCGTTGAAAATTCGCATTATAACTGATTAATATTTCTATAAAACACCCCCGTCAATTTACCATTATTCTGAAGAAGTTGGGGTGAACTAATTCTTGGGATAGAATAAATATTTCTGTTCACACCACTTCTATATCGTATTTCAGATTGGCGGATGAGGATTGGAAACGGACTTTCGTGCATGATGTAACTCGAGGAACTCCTGGACGTAGGAAAGCTAGAGGTTATCTCAAAACATTGCACAGGAACATCACCTTCTGTACTCTGAGTTCCCATCATGTCAAATTGATGAGTTCATAAGCTGATTCACTGCAAAAAAGCACAATAATACGTTAAATATTAGACTGCCTTCAACCACGAGCTAATCACGCGGATTTGATTCGCTGTTGTTCGCACTTTGTCAGTCCTGCGAATCACGAAGAATTTACACAATCGTGTTGCCATGATGTGTCAAGTCCCGACCAGTGTACCATCTCCAGCGTACTACTAAACTAGTTTACTATTGGATACGGCACTGCACCGTTTATATCCGAGCCAGATTCATTCCCCCCCCCCACTCCCAATTTTGCCGAATATTTATATCGGCTTTCAAAAATCAACTAATAGAATTATAAGTTTACTCTTTGACAAATAGGCGAATCAGTCCTTTTCTTGACACTTTTCTTCACAGAATTACGAATTTAGACGAAATATTCAGTCAACTTTTCAAAATGTGAATTTTTAGTACGAAAAATCCCCGTAATTTGTTATAAAAATTAACTTTTTTTACCTACCAAACATTTCAGGAAAAGGTCTGATTAGGAAAGTATTATAATATAAAAAGTACGGATCATGGCACAACCGACACTAATACTTTAATGAACATTTGTCATCCAACACAAAGTCGAAAACTTTACCACAATTACATTAATTCTAAATTCTGGATTTGATATGCAACGATATAACCAGATTATGAGATAAAGATGTGCGTCACTTCGCTTTTATGAAAATGAGTTGACAATCTCGACACGTGAAACTGATTATACAAGTTAGGTAGCTGTCGATGCTAGGACTCTTGCAAATAAACCGAAACAATTGTGCGCGGAAGCGAAATGCCACTTGTGCGCAGTCGTAATATATACTGTAAGCCGCATGGATGTTCCACAATTTGTTCTCACTCGTCAATCCAACCTAAAATAAATAATTTTTACTATGCATCCCTTCGATATTTGCGTGAGTATTAAATATAGCAATTATTTGTAAACATAGAAGAGAAATGAATTGTATCAAATTGGACGCTATGATGTACACCTTCGTAATCCTTATCTACAAACGATGAATTATATTGCCCTCCATTGGAGGCGCTGGCCAACTTGACCGGGTCAGTTACCAACAGAAACCAACAGCACATGATTTTCTGGATGCAAGTAATGACCGTTGTTTAGGGATGAACTTGTTGGCAATGGAGTAAACCAAGCTGTCAGGATAATTCCTTATTTTGGCCTTGAAGATTTAACTTTATTTTACTATGTCGTATAAAGAAAAGAACAATCGATATGAGTTCGTCGGCAAAGAAAAGGACGAATGTTACTCGTGTCGCCTGTCCCTTAGTTCTTCCTAGTAGAAGCCTCCATCATTTTAGCTCATCGGTGTCGTCACTGTTTTGACTTGTTAGTAGCAGAGAGTATGGAGATGGTATAAGTGAGAAGTGTTGAATCTGCGAGGAGTTTACATGTGTATGAAATAATATACTTGTGCTGAAGTGTGCTAACAGATTATTTGTTCTTATCTGGCGAATTCAGCCTTTCATTTATTGCACGTGCTTAAAGAGTAGCAGCGAACAGTGGCGTTCATTAATGGCCTTATTGTAGGGCTGCACGATAGTTAATCGCTTCCGGTGAACGTTATGAACTAAAAGCAAGAAGAGTAATTTTAAGTATTTGAGTGCTCATCAAGTTTCATCGTAACCGCTAGTCCCGTCGGTGAACACAGTACAGCTAATGTAACCTACAGTCAATAGTTGACTATTCAATTAGTGCTAGTGTTGTATGTCGTGAGACGTCAAAATGCCTAACAAACCGAAAAAGGAGAAAGAACCATCGAAAAAGACTGGTAATGGAAAGAACGGTAAAGATAATGTTGACAACGGTGACGAAATGAATAAATTAAATACGAATTCGTCGCAACCTCAGCAGCAACAGTTTTTATCACCAGGAGGTAGTGTCCCACCTCCCACCCAGATTAATAAAATCAAGTCTCCTGGTACCCCTCATATTAAAAAAGACAAGAGACAATCATCTTCAAGATTCAACATAAGCAAAAATCGAGAGCTTCAGAAACTGCCTTTACTCAAGGATGCTACCAGCAATGAAAGAGAGGAGTTATTTATCCAGAAAATCCATCAGTGTTGTGTTTTATTTGACTTTGTTGCTGATCCACTTTCTGATTTAAAATGGAAAGAAGTAAAACGTGCCGCATTACATGAAATGGTAGAATTTGTTACCACTCAAAGGGGTGTCATCACTGAAGCAATTTATCCAGAAGCAGTAACTATGTTTGCTGTGAATCTCTTCAGGACCTTACCACCTTCGAGCAATCCAAACGGAGCTGAATTTGATCCAGAAGAAGATGAACCGACTCTGGAAGCTGCATGGCCACATCTGCAATTGGTATATGAATTTTTTCTGCGATTTTTAGAATCACCAGATTTTCAACCCAATATTGCTAAAAGGCACATTGATCAGAAATTTGTTTTGCAATTGTTAGAGCTCTTTGATTCTGAAGATCCTCGTGAAAGGGATTTTCTTAAGACTACATTACATAGAATTTATGGTAAATTTCTTGGATTAAGAGCCTACATAAGAAAACAAATAAATAATATTTTTTATCGCTTTATATATGAAACTGAACATCACAATGGAATAGCAGAACTCTTGGAAATTTTGGGTAGCATTATTAATGGTTTTGCCTTACCACTCAAAGAGGAACATAAAGTATTTCTGTTAAAGGTTCTTTTACCTTTACATAAAGTGAAGTCATTATCGGTGTATCATCCACAGTTAGCATATTGTGTTGTTCAGTTTTTAGAAAAAGATCCTTTGCTCACTGAACCAGTTATAAAATCATTACTAAAATTTTGGCCTAAAACCCATTCTCCTAAGGAAGTAATGTTTCTTAATGAACTTGAAGAAATACTTGATGTTATTGAACCTGCAGAATTTCAGAAAGTTATTGATCCATTGTTTAGACAGCTGGCCAAATGTGTATCTAGCCCTCATTTTCAGGTGGCAGAAAGAGCATTGTATTATTGGAACAATGAATATATTATGTCTCTGATTAGTGATAATGCAGCTGAAATTTTACCCATTATGTTTCCATCTTTGTATCACAATTCAAAGTCTCATTGGAATAAAACTATTCATGGTTTGATATATAATGCACTAAAATTGTTTATGGAAATGAATCAAAAATTATTTGATGAATGTACACAGCAGTATAAACAAGAACGACAAAAAGAGAAAGAACGTCAGAGAGATCGGGATGAAGCATGGTCTCAGGTGGAAGTGTTAGCAATGCGAAATCCTGGGTATGCTCCATCACGTACAAATAGCATTGATAATAGCATGGGGGATTTGGGGTCTCCTGGAGATGATGCAGCTCTTGATATTACCTACGAAAAATTAGAAGCTGAAGCTAGAGAGGTTCAGAAAGTGCGAAATAAAGATAAACCATTTCTCCGGCGAAAATCTGAACTCCCTTGTGATACATACACAATGAAAGCACTTAATGATCACAAGCGTGCTGATGAATTTCTTCTTACTCCACCAGATGTTAATAAGTGCTAAATAGAGGGCTTTTGCTTGTAATTGACTTGCAGAAGCATGCTGCAGTAAACAGGGCATGCAATTTTACTGCCAGCTGAATTACCAAATTCTTCTGGTAGTATATTTAATTATTATATACTAAGAATAAAGGCTTCTTGTGTCAGTTGCTGCCATCTATGCAGTACATATGAATCAGATAGTTGCAATATATATTAAAGGTCAGTTATGAAGTAATATTAGCAGAGTAACTAGCTGATTCATGAATAATATTGCAGTATAATATAAACATTAGTTATGTACTGTGACTGGTAAGTTGTATAATTTAACTGCGTTAGTTAAGTACTCTGACTGGCAAGCTGTACATTTAACTACCCTGTAGACACCTTTATATATACCCAGTGCATAGCTTCTATGATATATGGTCAGCTCTTACTGCATGCTGCCTCATTGAAGTGCAGTGTCCATTGATGATGAACTCTGGTGTAATCATTATTGCAAGAATGTTATAAATGTATAATTAATCTCAAGTCACATAATTTTTTAGGTTATCAATGATGCTTCCATTTTGCATTGGACTCTTATTAGGTTAGAATTAAGTTGCTAACTGTAAGCTCTTCATCCAATCATTAACCTGTTCAGGGTTCATTACTGTAAAAATATATATTACCCGTGGCATAGCTGTCCTGTTTATGATTTGGCCTTATATTGTTCCAGTCAAAATCTGGACGTAAACATAATATCTTTGTAAAATACTGGGAAATTGAAGTTATTTACAAATATTGTAAACATTGTTATGATGTGTTTGCAAAAATGCTCCGTGAATTGTGAGATGCTGCTGCTTAGTGTGGTTGAACATCTTGTATTTGTATATGTGCTAACACATGTTAAAAAAAGTATGCCTTCAGGATCAAAGTGTAAATTAGATCTACAAGAGGGAAAGCTGTTTGTTAAATATATTTGTTGTGCATCTTGTATATTTTACATGAGGTAGATACTATTATTGGTTGGTCTTAAGGGTGCCATACCATCAAACATTGGTCAGTTTTGTGTACTTTATATTACTTAATGTGTTGAACTGTAATTACCATGTTTGTTGGTTTGTGGCAGTACTGATTTATCCTTTTTTATTTTGGAATTAATGTGTGTGATAATTTGTGTTGAAAGCCCATTTTTTATCTTGCAGAGAATTTGTTTCTTTGAGCATGGGAGAGTAAATACATGTAATGGAGGGTCAAGTAACGTGTAATGAATAAAGTTACTCGAACTTTGATTTTATTGCTCTTCATAATATCAGTGAAGAATAAAGTTTGTCCCCTCCCAGAATTTTTAAGTTTAAAATTATCCAAAAAAAATCGTTATACTAGGCATAGGAAGCCTGACTTATAAAATGTGAAACATTGTTCTTAGAAATTGCAAGATATGCAACTCAGAAACATAAATGCCACTAGTTACCTGTAAAATCAACATGCACTGCCACAAGGTCTGGTGATGTAGACACCCCTGCAGGGGAATTGAGAGGAAGCATGTTGCTGAAACACTGAAAACTAGTACTGTGACCAAATAGTCCATGCTTACCCAATGCTGAAGATGTGATAAAATATATAGGTCAAGGTCGTAGGTCTTGGCAAGTGTATTGAGCACATGATACTGACTAGTTTGGAGAATTTTCCCCTCACCTGTATGACAATATTTCTTTGGGCTTTCAGCAAGATCACCATGGCATACCATGTCATCAAATGCTTTGCTTGTAATTAAAGTTTTCCGTTATTGTTGTAATGGAGTTTCATTGCAAAAGTTCCTTTCTGCATACCAATATTAAGATAAATTTCCTTTATATCCTAAAATGCCTTGCTCTATCGAAATGACATACCTTGGAATTAAAGAATAAAATTCTTAGATGTAAATACAATACAATATAATTATTGGCACTTTTGGATCCTCAATTAAATTAGGGTATTCATTGAAAACAAGAAATTGAAAAGATTTAGTAGATTAATTTTATAAAATTAAATATTTCATTTTGGATAATGAGTTTATTTTTACAATGTTTAACAAGTTTTTTTTACATGGGAAATCACACAACATAAAAATGTGTTTTTCATGTGGAGAGAAATCAATATACAAATATAGTTCTGTCATGCACACACATTTCACTTCACTTTCTTACACTTTTATTTCATTTAAAACTCATACTTCTCATATGTAAGCATTTTTACATTATTTCACCGTTTCTCCTTTCTGGAACTTTTTGAAGTGCACTTCTCATCACTTGGACTACGGTGTTTTTTTGAATGTTTCATTTCTTTTTTGTGTTTCTTGAATTTTTTCTCCTTTTTTGACATTTCCTCTTTCTCATCTGAACTCTCCCCTGAAGATCTTTCCCTATGTTTTCGTTTCTTCATTTTCCTATTTCTCTCGCTTTCATCAGAACTTCCTTCTGGAGAATTATCCCTTTGTTTCCTTTTTTTTGCTTTCTTCTCTTCCTCAGTATCAGAAGAACTGGAATCTGAACTTGTATCCGTATTTTTGTGTTTGCGTTTGGATTTCTTTAATTTGGATTTTTTTTCTGATTTTCCCTTTTCTATCTCTCTGAATTTCCTGTAAAAGAACATCGTTTATTAATGGACTACAAAATTTATTATTTTAATTACACAACAGTGACAAGGAATGAAATTAATTTTAAAATATTAATGATAGTTGAAGAACATATTCTAAGATATTTTCCACAGCAGCGTTCCATTTACACAAGGTTCATCTGAAAAGTGACAAAAGTACAAAGGAAAGTAGCTAATTTTATCACACAAGTTCAAAAAATTTGCTATATTTTAACTTGAACCCACATCTTATCATTAATATTTTAATAAATACACCTCAAGAGGAGGAAAGAAAGAAAAAAAAACATAAACAAGCTTGAAGTTGTTTCTCGTTTGTATTTTAGTTCTTGAATACCCACATTGCACATTCCTTAAAAAGTTGAGAACCTATTTGAATGCTTGGGAGAATTCTCTGGAACTTCACTTTGCTAACAGAATCACATACATTCACAATTGAGCAATGTACAACAATATACCTTCTGCTTTCATAAAATTCAATGGCCACACTTCCACAGCTACTGGGTACTTGAAAAAAACTTAACATTTGATGGTAGGAGGATAAGATTTAACTTTGTCTTCAAAATGTTTCATGAATTATAAGCATGTATTTTAATAAAACAAAAAACAAAAATTTTAGAATGTCACATAATTTGAGATTGACTACCACTCTGAAATATATAGAGTTTTGCAAATATACCTTTGAAGTTAGGTTAATATCCTCTTAGAGAACTTCGTGCTTAGTAAGTACCAATATGTGAGCAGATTTACTTCAAATTGTCAACTGTCGTACACGAATGAAAATAATTAAAAATGTACAAGTATTTGTGTGTGTGTGTGTCAAAAACATAGCTCCAACTCAGCTTTAATGAGCTGGAAGAGGAGAGGGGACGGATGGAATGGAGAATGAATGATGTGACCCTACCTCTAGCACTTTCTGTCTCTGCAGAGCCAGAATCAGATGATGAAATACGTGTTAGGATGAGATTCTTGGGTGCCACAAAAAGGCTACAATGCCATGAACACAACATGAAAACATCCATGCCTCATGCAGAATCAGAACCCACAGCCTTTAGGGGTATCTTGCACTTTGGCTCTTACACGCAGTTCCTACACTATCAGGCAAGCAAGTAGTTCAAATAAAATGCGTTAACCATGCATACATATATTCAAGCAATAAATGATATACTTTTGTATGAACATTAACTAACGGAAATTATACTGTATCGTTAAATACCATGTTTTACATTTGGACTTACAGCCTAAAGAATACATAAATAAAATTTAAAACACTAATGCAAAGTATTACTCCACACATTTTTTTTTTATCAAATTCCTGTTATAAATCAATTGTTCTTCAGAAGTTTCATTACAAAATCTATTTATTATTTGCAAACTAATTTCTTTTTTTGATTTTGATATCTTACTGTAATCAGTGTTATATCAAGGTTATTTTAGTTTTTCAAAATCATCTACTGAACAGACATTACAATAGACAATTCAACTTATAGCATTACATTTTTTTTGTTCAGCTTCTCTTTGACAATTCCCTTGTATTAATTCCTCTCTGTATATTTTTGATGTTTGAGAAAAACTTTTCTCCATCTAAATTGCTAAGATCTGTATTATCTTTCAAAAATGTTCTTTCTTTTATTTTTAAACTTTTCTGCCCCACTCATCTTTCTTCTCAGTCATCAATATTCTCCATCATATACATCAATATACTTACATGGATTATCATGATTATCGTGTTTGGTTTTCAGTTCGAACATTTTTTTTTATATTATATTTCACACAGAATAATTATCCTGTTTTATTTTTGCAAATATTTCTATCAACAATACAATACTACTATCAATTTTTACAAATATCTCGAAAATTATTCATTTACACAGAACACAAAAAGAAAAAAAAACAGAAAGAGTATTTAAAGTACCATTAATCTACGGATCAGAAGCAGACCATGAGAACTAGAGACCTACAGAGATTAGAAACAACTGAGGAGGAGGAGGATTCCAATACTGGTCAGACTTTTGAAAATATGTCAGAGAAATGAAGAGGTCCCACAAAGATTGAAGCAAAATATATATGTGAATATATAAATAAGAAAATGGAAGAAAAACAGAATAAAAATAACTAGTGTGGGAATACCAGCCTACAGGCACAAGAGAGCAAGGAAGACCAAAATGGAGATGGAGACAACAGAAACGCCTGGAAGACCAACCACTAGGGCAACTACAGAGAACAGGACCTACCTAATCAGACAGTCCATCATGATATTTTGTTAATTATTATTTTGTTGGACAAAAGTGCAAGAAAAAGGATTGCCAAATTAAGTCAAATTTTGTGATAGTTTAAACACCAGATTAAAAACTTTAAAAAGTTACACATAATACACTAAAAATATTTGTTGATATCGTTTTAAAAAAGCATTATCAACAATTTTGGTAATTATAAAATAAAACAACATAGCTATAAGATTTCATGATTAAAAATTTCAGGTGTGTCAACTACTGCCATTAGTTCCATAAGTGTAGTGCATAATTTTATCACGGGAGGTGGCGAGATCCGGCGCCGACCTACGTTGTTTTGCCGGGATATTCCCAAACAAGGTAACAAGGTATCTGCCACCAAAGTGGCACCGCCCCAGCCGGGACAAGCTCTAAGCTCCCGGGTGGTACGTGTGTAAGGGGTGAGGAAAGAAAGAGCACGTGAGGTCCGTGGCCCGTTTGTTAGCGTATTGCTCCGACATTCGCGTGGTGTTGATCGGAAAAACCATGGAAAACTAGAGATCAGAGCAGCCTGGCCGCTAGAAAACCCCATCCAGAAAGCGGCTGAATTTGACCAAGTTGTCTAGCTAGTGTTGAAAATTCTGTCACAGTCGGGCCTCTAACTTCAGGACCTCCCGGTCAGAGGCACTCCAATGCCATCAGTCGATGCCCCGAGCAATTTTTGCCAGACACAGTTATCAGAAAGAATTGATATAAATTGTATTAGAAAGAGCGTTGTTAGTAGTAATATTAATTTTTAAGAGGTTTCTTGTTTCTCCTGAAAGATTCGTCGAGGTGGAATTTAGAACAACTCAAAATATAGTTTATTTTCACAAGAAGTCACTTTCCATGTATTTCACCCAAGTTTGTTTCTCTCATTGGTCCACAAAAAGTGAATTACTGGTGGGAGTTAACAAAATAAATTCTTCTTTAACGAGATACAGACCTACAAAGAAAAAAAAATTGTTTTTAATAAATGTATAATTATTTTTTTAAGATATTGAATAGCAATACATAAAACTTGAAATTCTTGGAATAATTCATTCCCGTTGACTTCTTTATTGTGGTTATTTACAATACATGTGAGGCTATCGAGGGTTGCTGTGCTATTATAGTCGGTATTCAGTTCCATGACTGCAAGCTTCTTAAAACGGAAGGTCTAGAAACTGAACCACGTGGACGAAGGTTCCACAGTTAACACAACGCACACACACACACGCACACACACACACACGCGCGCGCGCCACTTCGACTTGTTGCGTTAGATGAAAAAGTAAAGTGTCAAGCGTCATTGAAGGAATTAATGAGAAACCTTGCATCTTTCCCCAACCCAGTTGTCCACTCCCCAAATTTTCAAAAACCATCACCTGAAGAAGCAAGTATGCTTGGCGCCAAAACGAAATACAGCGTATTCAAATTTGGAGCTTCATCAGCGTGTTCTTCGCCCCATTACATTCATTCTCGAGCACATGTCACGTTCCCTATACAGTAGACTCCGGTTAGTGAACTTCCGGGGACTAACATTTTTGGTTCACTATATCGGATGATGCCAAAATGTAATAGAAAATCTCCATAGCGATTGATGTTATCATAAACATACAGCGAAATACTTTAACAGAACGAACTGAACATTTCAATATCTTTATTTTTTCAAAAAAATTATATTTTCAATTGTTTAATCGATTATTTTTCTTTAGTAATTTCTCTAGATCCTTCAGAGTTCGTGCTCTCTCCATACTTTAATTTGCATTGCCCTCTGTGTGTAAGTATCGTAGTGCAGTGTTGACACTCTACAATGCCTCTTGTACTGTTGAACATCGTCCCACACTCCGAAGGTATAATATCACTTACTCGCCAATGATATACGAGATGCTTCGGTAGCGGATAGCGCAAGCGGCCAATAAAACAGATCGCTTTGCCGCGCGGCACGGCGGATATTGTCAGGCTGTGGCAGTAGCTTGCTTGTCGACTACATAGAACTCGACGCGCTCGGCGCCGATCAGAAACATACATATATTATATATATATATATATATATATATATATATATATATATATATATATATATATATATATATATATATATATTTAGATATCAGTGTGCAGACTTGTGAAGAGAC